TCTATCTATCTATCTATCTCAACTCTTCGGATATAACTATCTATCTCCACTTCTTCGGACATATCTATCTATCTATCTATCTATCTATCTATCTATCTATCTATACTTCTTCGGATATTACTATCTATCTATCTCAACTTCTTAGGATCTATCTATCTATCTATCTATCTATCTATCTATCTATCTATCTATCTATCTATCTCAACTTCTTCAGATCTATCTATCTATCTATCTATATCTATCTATCTATTCATCTATCTATCTCTATCTCAACTTCTTCGGATATAACTATCAATCTCCACTTCTTCGGACATATCTATCTATCTATCTATCTATCTATCTATCTATCTATCTATCTATCTATCTATCTATCTATCTATCTATCTATCTATATCTGTGTGTTTGTGTGTTTTTTTGTGTGTACGTTTATCTATCTATCTATCTATTCATCTATCTATCTATCTATCTATCTATCTATCATCTATCTCAACTTCTTCAGATCTATATATCTATCTATCTATCTATCTATCTATTATTATCTATCTCAACTTCTTCGGATATAACTATCTATCTCCACTTCTTCGGACATATCTATCTATCTATCTATCTATCTATCTATCAATCTATCTATCTATCTATCTATCTATATCTGTGTGTTTTTGTGCGTTTGTGTGTGTACGTTTATCTATCTATCTATCTATCTATCTATCTATCTATCTATCTATCTATCTATCTATCTATCTATCTATCTATCTATCTATCTCAACTTCTTCGGACATATCTATCTATCTATCTATCTATCTATCTATCTATCTGTATCTCTGTGTTTGTGTGCATACGTTTGTGTGTGTGTACGTTTGTGTGTGTATGTGTAGGGCATGAGCGACGTAGGGAGACATAGTTCTCACTGTAATTCATTACGCTTTTAACGAATGTCATTATTGCCTAACAATAATAAATTACTCGTCGCATCTTTTGGAGTCAGTGTTTGCGATAAACGAGAGGGAGAAAAAGAAATACCATTTAGCATTCACGTCAAAGATACATAAAGATAACACGTTTCATTCGTTCCAATTCCAGTAAGTGACGTTTTCCCATAGAAGGTAGATGAGGTGTGGCATTTCTCTCTCCTTGCTTTCATAGATTGATTTCTCAGTTAAGACAACAATACTGAAACTCAGTATCATTGTGACATTTTGGAAAGACGTAAAAACTAGGAAGCCGGAGAAACTCCATATTTACTTCTGTAATTCATTCGCATTAGAGAGAATAATGATATAATCCAGATACTGATATTCCATAGTACATCAAACAAAAGATTAGGAAGTTAACTGCCATCAGTATTTTAAAGAGCGATAACCTGTTTTATTGAAAAAAATATTTAAAAGGAAAGATTTAATAAATTTCAACAGCCAACATGAATGCCACAATTAAAACTGACAACTGACATCCATTAAACATGGCACGTGGAACTAGAACAGTCTACCCCAGTGACCGAAATAAAGGGTTCAGTTCGAAATTCCAACCACCTGAAGAAGGCCGGAACGTACAACGGCCGAAACGTTGTAATAAATATGGCGACAAAGATGAGGACAATTGTCCGCATAATGTAAATAGTGTACATAATACCTCATCCCAGAAATATAGACAGATCCTGAAAGGCCGAAACGTTGTAATAAATATGGCGACAAAGATGAGGACAATATTCCGAATAATGTAAATAGTGTACATAATACCTCATTTCAGAAATATAGACAGATACTGAAAGGCCGAAACGTTGTAATAAATATGGCGACAAAGATGAGGACAATAGTCCGCATAATGTAAATAGTGAAAAAAAAGCTTATTTTATTTTTTACTAATAAGTTAAGTTTAGGAATTATTTTATAGAAATAGTCCGTCCTTGTTATATCAATAAAGTACATCCACGTCCTGGGTAAGACGATAAACTACATCCAACAGCAAGGCCTCTGACCAGGAGGTTTTGAGGAGCATGTAACCACGTCTTAATTGCTGGTGTTCCCAGGCCCACCCTGACCCGAGGTAGTAGCTGTCATGGGTCCAAAGGGGGTCAAAACACTACAAAAAACATAAAAATATGTTTTAATATCAGCAATACTTCTTTTTGGAAAAATTGTTACCAGAAATACATTTTTGAAAATTATTACCAGCAATATATTTAAAAAAATATATATATAACCAGCAATAAACATCTTGTCGGCATTAAATAACACATTGAGGTTGATATGTTACCAAACAAAAACAAAACAAATCAATAGAAATATTAATTTTATATGCTTTCTTTATATATAATCCTTGTATAATTCATATATTAAATTAATTTTATTATTAATATCTTATTTTTCATATTTTATATTAATTAATTTATATTAATATATTAAGTTTATTTTATTTTAAAATTAATATTATTATTGATTATTAATATATTAAATTAATTTTTATAATAAGTTATAATCTTTATATAATTTTACTTTATATG